GATTCCGACTTATGGGGTTGGATTTCTTGATGAGAAAACGGAAGCGGGTTTTCCATTTTCCAGAGAAATCAAGCTCCTTAAGCGATCAGTACACTTTAAGTGTGATGGAGAGTGAGTTGTATACAACTGGCAAAGTTTAACGCATCTTGTTATTGATATGTGAAAGAGTTCTGTGCAGCCATATGAACGAATTTGTGCCTCTTCATTCGAATCTTTTATGCTTATCATTCACCGAAACAAAACTACTGAGAACTTAAAGGTGATGAAAGTTTTCTGGCAAGAACAAGAAAGTGCATTCAAGGCTAGTTATTATTTTCACTCCCTTGTACTATGCAGCAATTATTGTACAATAAATCAGGAAGAGGTTTATGGCCAATTAGAGGCTGCCAAGTGGGGGGAAGTGACCGGCCGTGGCAAGATTCGAGCCCGGGACAGGAGGGTCTGAATTCAGTATTTTGGTCATCTGACCACCGCCTGATCGCAAATGACTGTCTTGTTGAAAAGAAAGAGTTTCGATGCAACGGCGTCACTGATTGCGGCATCTAGCCTTTTGCTCAATACATCCAACCGTCCAGTGTACGGGTCTTATAGATCACAACCCGGAACCTGCATACACATTACTCGGCCAAGGCACATTAAATTTTTTCCCATATCTTCGAATGACCACCTAAAACCATTGTCCTATCATCAATTGCGTCTGAAAATAATGCGCAACGAGGGAGCCTATGTTTGTGCGTGCGCAACACGTGTTCCGACCAATTTAACCAGTTTAGACTGAGAGAGTGATCCAGTGACTAACCACTGCTTCCCATCTCCGTACGTTTAACCTCAGCCTTGCCCGTGTGATATTCCCACTATATTGGGACGAAGACATAGATAGTCGAAAATCAACAACCGTCGCACAGCTCCTACCCATAACAGCCACTTTCTTAAGTCGTATAAACTGACGGACTTAACTCGACTTTTGACAGACGATCGGATGCCACACCGGCGCCATGGGTGGTTCAAAGTAGTGTAAGTCTAATGCGTCTTGTATAATGCGACGACACTTCATTCGATATCTGATCACTTGGCGAAATATAACTCCTAAGGTACGTCAACTTACCTACCCCAGAGAAGGCATACCCTATAAGAATAAGATTTGGGGAAGGGCCAACTCAATCCTCAAGCAGAGTTTTGCAATTTAAAAGTGTAAAATTTATCTTAGAATTGCAACACCTGTTTGGACTATTTGAAAAACTTGTTGTCTACCCCAAACACCTAGTCAGAAGAACACCATCTACTTATTATAATTCAGACAATCCAATGTCTATGCGCAGGTAAACACCACTGTTCTCAAACGTGGATAACGCTACGTCTAGAATCATCCTAATCATAAATTTGAAAAGGGAGGGAAACCCTGACTGATTCCCCTATCTTTGTATTCCAAGGTGGAAGACGGCCATTAAAACAAACATGCCTCACATATGCCCGCATAAGAAAGTAGAAGACTGGGACGGATTGATTTAGTACACCACTCAATGGAAGACTGCGCCAGATAACTTCGCTGTCGTCCCGGTTGAAGTTCAATGTCAGGTAGAGAGAGTCGGAGATTGTGGGCATAGAAAAGTTGTTGTAGCGTGTAGTGAAATATATGATGGATACAACCTCGACCGGATCTGGAACTGACTTTGTTCTCGCACGCGCCTCTTTTGCGAGTGCTGGATAATCGACTCGGGTTAATGCAGATGAGCGGTTCGGATGTGATTCTAGCGTGGTTTATTTTTGTGAGAATTTCCCAAGAGTACCCATCTTCTTTCTTTTACACCGATAAAACCACCGGGTAATATCATTCCTTGGGAATCTGCCGAATTTCCCAGATAAGTTTTCAGCTCTAATACCAAGGCTTCTCCTCTATCCTTTAAAGCGGATGGAGACAACCCACCTGGCTTAAAAACTGTCTTTTTCGGTAACCTATACGGGGATCATCTCCGTTACTGACAAGTTGATATCTGCCTCCACTGTTTCATTTGCAAATATTATTGGAATTTTCGCTGTGCAGCTAGCCAAGCCGAACTTTCTGGAAGGGGTTCCTTTGAATGAATAAGTGGATCATCAGATTACTTGATTAACACTCACCTGGTTTCCTGTGCCATTTACTCTGATCGGATGATTATGCTTGTCACTACGTTCACCCACGGCAACCTTCGTCATCTTACCTCGTTCCAGAATCCATCACTGCCAGCGATCACTTCTGAAGCTCTTAGTCACTTACCGCCTTATGGATTTAGGCGTCATATAGAATGTTGCATAGAAGGGAATGGAACTGCGAACATTTAAAGGACAACTACTATTCAAGATATTCATCTTTCGTTAATCCTGTCTGTAAAGTAGTCTTGCTTGGCGTTATTAGAAGACTTAAATTATTCTTTGACCCACTGAGAGTGTTCACCAGGATCTCTGACTTAGACTACATCAACAGCCGCGTGGAAGACGGTTTCTGGACTTAGATCTTTGTGTATTGTCTAGAAGCAACTTGAGATACGGATAGGTTTACCATTAAGGCAACCACACGCAAGAAAAAACAGAAGGCAACATGTACCAACACATGATATGGGTCCACAAAATTGAAATAGGATGAACAACAATCTACCGATCTACAGCAGAGACCAACTGAAATATGTTCCATCTGAATCCAATGCGCTGATGACTTATGGGGAGGCCTGACGAAACGGCACAGCATTTTAGAGTATAAAAAGTCCATAACAGTTGAATAACAAGATCTCACTTACTGGTTCAGTCGGGTGTTATACCACATTATGAAGAGTAAGCAGCATCTGGAATCGCAATTCTATGGTTGCTTCTATCGTTACTGGTTTGTCGGTCAATATCCCGATCCCTTGGTTTTGGCCACTGGCCGTCCGCCATTCATTGAAAATACCGACGGTGATTAATTGTTGATCAGATGTTTCAACAAAATTCACAACTTCTTTCGGGAAACAGTGCCACTGTGCAGCGATAACCACTGAAGTGTAGTTCACAGCAGGAAAGGATTCTTTGCAGAGAAATACTGTTTCTCTTAGAAAATGGCTTGATTTTCTGCTAGATAACTGAAGAATACACTTTCATACCTTGATATCAAACCTTCATTCCTGTATTACAAACGGCTAGTACAATCCTTGTTCCATGAGATGGTTTTCTTCGAGAATGCTTTGAATTCTAGTCTGGATGTGGTGCAAGGATCCGAAATCGAAATTGGGAATACTTGTGTCTTCTTCCATACGGGGAAAATTGTGTGAAACGACACGCCTCCATCGTAAAACTGTTGTGGTTGCTGTGAAGAAGTGCACCACTGTGTCGATGAGAGTAACAATTGGACGCTAAACACCACATAATTTTACTCGTGTTGTAAGTGGAAATTTTCCACGTACTTCTAGCAGTTACATACGACTCTGGTCACTGCACGTCATTTCCAGATCACGTGAACTGAACACACTAGGCATAACATGAAATAAGTCAGTTTAGTCATCCCGAAACGATCCGCTTTTGTCAGTACCAATCGATACATTGCTTATCAGAGGTATCTTATACTACTACTTCGTGTATAAACTATCGAAAAGTAAATTAACCTAACCCAAAAAGCAATATAATGGTGTGAATTGGAGATTATTTAACTTATCGACTATGAGCCATCTCAGAGTATCAAGATGTGTCCTAGAAAAAGTTTTAGACTGCCGGCCTGAGTTTCCCATCTGAGAAAGCGCAAATGAACAAGTGCCAAAATCCGGAGGTTAGGAAGATGTAGTGGATTATATCTGCCCAATGAGATGGTCCTTATGCTCTGAGGGACATTATCAAACTGAGTGGATAAATGAAGTAAATTAATTTGTGTAGTTTCGAGGTAATATAAGTAACAAATTAGTTTCATGTTTTATTGGCACAGAAAAGAACCAGGCGAGCTGAAAGCAGTGATAGGGACCAGACGTGTGGTGGTCTCCATACATGATAAATAATGAAGTCTTTGTTGTAGATAAATAGCTAAATATTATCATCTTGTTACTTTCAGAGGCTAGCAACAGGTAGGCAGTTTCGTCGGCAGACTAAGGATAGTTAACAAAAAAAACATCAAAAACGAATCAACTGCGCAGATTTTATACAAAATCATTACTTATACTGTCGTCCGTAATGTTCCTTTTTAGAGAACACCCCGAAAAAAAATTTTGACTAATTATCCATTCGCCCATCGTTTGTAATCGTTTACTGCCAACATATTTTTGGTAACCAATAAAACAAATTAACTGTTATTAACTAAAATTTTCTTCACCGTCACAGTGGATTAAACAACGAAGTAGGTTGGAATTGCGCTCTTTGAGTTCTTCTAGTTTATTTGAAGTTATAAAGTAGGAGAATGATTCAAAAAGTCCTCCTGGAAAGAAAATAAACCAGGTAAGTCATCGGAAATAGTATTTTGCTATATAGGTCTTGATAATTTTGAAAAGTAGTTTTTTGTTTTTGTGAAAACAGAACCCTAAACCTGATTATTTTATACCTGGGGAGAGCATCTATCGGCTACTTTTCACCCCAATGCGATGAATTAGTGATTGTGTGTTTGCGCCCAATTTGCTCATAATAACATCTAACAATTGAGAAATAGCCGTACATTTTCGTTTTTCAAATTAAAGGGGTTACGGCACATCGTGCACAGGTGTGGCATTCATTCAGACGGAGCGAGCGACTTTGTTTATTTCTTATGGAATAAACGTATGTTGTGTTATTGTCTAATGCTCTAGTTTATCAATATCACAAAAGCTGGACGGAGTATGTGACTGAAGTCAGCTGACAGTCAACTCATTCGATCGGTGGCCAGTACGAATAAGATGCGGTCGAAGGATATTCATCGATCAGGAGGTCATTTAAAATCTCCTATATAAAGTCATTTACTGATGTTGTCTGGGTGATGAAAACATCAGATCTCTCACCCTGACTGCGGAAGTCTATCTTGAGAGTAAAATTTCTTGAAAATGGTGAGTTTGCTCCTATCTCATCTATCTTAACTGACTGCGTCTGTTAATCACCCTACCTCTGCGAATGAAATGATCACAGACATCATTCTTCATTCTGAACTTTAAATATATTTCAGCGCGAATGCATCAGTATTCATGTTGGTCAGGCTGGTGTACAAATTGGAAATGCCTGTTGGGAACTATACTGCTTAGAACACGGTATTCAGCCTGACGGTCAGATGCCAAGTGACAAGACAATTGGGGGTGGTGATGATTCTTTCACCACGTTCTTCAGTGAGACTGGAGCCGGAAAACATGTACCAAGAGCAGTTTTTCTTGATTTGGAACCAACGGTAGTTGGTAAGTCGGATGTATCCGGTCAGAATTTGTGGTTTCTTATCGCCTAGGTCAACACCATAACAAAATGAGAAATTGGTAATTTGGATTATTTTCACCAATCGTGGTGACGATATTCCAGCTGACTTTTTCGTGCTCATTATTCTCTAACCTGGGGCTTGAAATTAATTCTTCTACAAATAGCGCAACCACAGCACACAATTAGTTACTCAAGTTTCGGCCTATTAGTTATGGATAAAGTAACAGTTAGTCTGAACTTCCGTGTTGGAAACTTTTTGAAGCCAAAGGCTTGTCCTTAGTTCAGTTCCTTGTGCACAACCATTAGTTGCGTGCTGGGGGCAGCGATTGGCTTGCGTCGCCCTGTATGGTTTTTAGTATCGTCATTGGCTTGAAGTCAGTAAAATCCAGCGCAGTAAAACCGAGGCTTGGTGCCGCTTTACGGCTTGGAAGCCTCCTACTACTGACTGGGTTATGTAGGATGGCCATCATGCCGGAAATTGCAGTGAGCACAGGACAACTGATTTTGTTAGACTGGGGGAGATTCATATCTGGACAATAATAAGAAGATGAGGAGAATTCTATCGGTCAAAAAAACTCCACAAGTTTGACGTAAAAGTGGATTGTCTTGGGTTTCGACGACGATGAAGGTAACAGCCATTGTCCGCCTAAGCTAGGCGACCTATCACCTGACCAACGAGTTTGTTGTAAATTGCGGGGCAAGGATGAAGCCCAAACATATCTCACGGGACAGGCTAACAGAAGCTTTTAGATGGGTGTTCTGGCTACTCTATTGTGCAGACTCATCATTAAATTATCTTAAAGGTTTAGTTCCTGATTCTGAGCTCCGGTTAGGGTTTCACAAATAACCACAGATCCCCGTATCATCACCTATCCCGTTTGAAATTAGAAGTGTCCGGTTGCCTACCATGTGAGTGACCTTGAAGCGCTGTTCATTCAGCTACCTTAAGCACCATTTCAGCTATTTTTATCTGGTTTCAGACTGATGCAATATCTCAAGCTTAACTGAAGCTCAGGAGATATCTCGTAAAAATATTATCCAAGAACTTGAAAAAACTACTACTACTATTTAGTCCCTGTCCCGGAAGCCGAGATTTTGCTTTTGGTAATTTATCCCACGAAGATTTCTACCTGGGTAATTAAGCACCACATAGAGTCCCGATATTTTATTCGCAATTTGCATCCAAAAAGTTACACCCTTTTCACTCAAACTAAACCAGCTTGTAATTCAATCGTTTTTTCAGTTTTAAGCACAAAGAGGCTAGTTCTGTTTAGGCTCAGTGGTTTTCTGCTTGAACGGCTGTCATAGCCGCTATTGCTCGACGAAGTTACAGAATTTTAAACGCCAGTTCGATCGCAAAATTAACGACCAACAGATGACAAACTGTTGTTTGTATACAAATAGTGACTGAGATAGTTCTCTGTGTTAGCCCCTGCAGTAAGAGGAACACAAAGGTAGCAAGCTATCAACCGAGTCAGGCCCCAAATTTAAGTCAAAAAAACATTGTCTGCTGTTTTTAAAAAAAGGCCAAAAGATAAAGATTCAGAGGACAAATGGTGTGAGACCCCTGAAAGTATCTTCTAGTTAGTATCGAAGCGAATTACCCATGAAATCCCCTCGGCCGAACGAACAGAGAAGATTCTAGTCGGTCGACAGGTGCTTTAGTGTACTGTTTATATTATGGTGCCGAAACGGTACCTACACGAAAAATACCTTTTTGGCAAACCAAGTGCAGCGGCGAACCAGAAGTGAACCAGAGGCGTACTGTCTTTTGAAGACCGAAAAAGAGTTAGAAGAGAAGTCGAAAGAAAACTAGTGCTTTTCAAGCTCAGTAAAACGAATGCAACCAAAAAAATCACGTAGTCAGAATTAAGCACCAGAGATTATCGCGGAGAAAAGACATTCAAAGTGACGTCTGGAAAACGCTCATTTTTTCGGAACGGTCGAGGTCACTTCGGAAGCATGATCCATGCAGCCTTGACCATGGCGGAATTCGACTTGATTCTTGTGTGTTTAGTGTAGGCGATGGTCGCACAACCGGAACTGAAGTTGTTATCAAACAAGATAAATGCTTCTAGATAATGACAATAACCAATTAGCACTAACTGTTCTGGGCATGTTCACTTTTTTGGTTTTTTGATTGCTTGATAAGATAGAGGTTAAAATGATGTACTCTAGGAAGTATTTGTACACGAAAGTGCAATGCGATAGGTAAGCCACTTCGCGACTTACCGCACGTTAGAAATATCCACGAATTGGGGATGACGCTGATCACACCTAATTTCCGAAATAACTCGAGATAACTTTCGTCCAGGCACTTGGTAGCCGTCATTGCTGGTTTCCGATAAGTTTTTGCACGACTGACACTTGCATGCACATGCTTTAGTAAAAGGTGCAGAGAACGGCTAGTGTTAATTTTAGATTCCACAAGCCCTGAAACCCCTACAAGCGTTACACTGAAAATAACGCGATTTCTACTGTCGGATTCGTGTTTTTATTGAGTAAAGGGACAGAAAGTTATGTACTTTGGAATAATGGAGATGAAAGAGGACGAGCAAATTATACAATTCAATAGGGTGTCATCGATCATGGCTTCCGATCTTGCGGAAATTTCCTGTTTTCAAAGAGGAGATCAAGCAACTTAACTTTCATTTCGAATCTTCCATCTGGCGTATCAGTAAGAGCTTCTGAGTTGACCGGTGAGCTCTTGATTTCTTTGGTTCCATCCACCTTGGATTTTATGGACATATACTGCGAATCAAACCAGAAAGGCGGTCGCCATTGGTAGCTACCGAAATCCTCTTACAATTCACCAACATTGACTAGGTTCATTTCCATGTCTCCTGTTGGTCGTTTATTTCCCATGGAATCTGTGCACTCTATAGTGTGCCGTATCCTGATATGCAGCCAAGAACACAACGTTGAGGAAAACACACTCACTTCTGTGAGAACCCGTTGATTTAGAGCACTATTTTATCGGACGACTTGAAAACAGAAACTCCTCATATTTGGATCTCTGCAACAGCCGTTGAAGTCTGAAAAACTCAGATTCACAAACGGATAACAGAAGCGAATGGTCCCCGAAAGCAATTTTTATCAGCACACAGCTTATCCTATGAAATGGCGGACGGGATTCCCATGTCCTCCGGAAGCGACGTATGCGGTATCGGTACAACATGGCATTGGTTGTTCCTGTAGGGCGTACCCATTCAAATGTGGCTGAGTCTATCATATCTTTCTGCTTCAGACGTGACAGCAAGCTAGACGGAGACTTCTACCTGTTGAGTCTTATCTTTTTCCGTCACCAAGATGATTACTGAGGACAGCTCATACGCGACCTTTAGGAGAACGGAAAAAGAATAGTGACATCATCATATCGAAGCCGGACAAAGGGAACAGGTTAGACTGTACTGCGAAAATGGATACCTTTTTGAATGAAATATCTAGATTTGCGAAAATGGTCACAGAAAAAGAAAAGACGCAACAAGTACAGAAGTCTCCGTCTAACTTGCTGCGACGTATGAAGCAGAAATATATGATAGACACAGCCACATTTGAACGGATACGCCTTACAGGAACAGCCACTCCCAGATTGTACGGAGTGCTGAAAACACATAAGAGTGGAGTCCCCTCAAGACCTTTCCTCGACATGTATACGGTATCCTCGTCTAGGAGGTGAGTGTCTCGGACTCAAAGGCTGGCCCTGAAAGCCAACCAAAATGTTCCCAAATGATCGCGTGTATCAAACAGCATCTGCTGACAAAGTCCTGCGCATAGCTTTTCTCATTGCGGAGGTGTTTTCACCACAACGTAGGGAAGAAGGCGAAAACCCAGCCCTCTCCACCGAAAATGGCTGAGCTCTGACTTCAGACCGACCACAGACAGCGTACAAAGCGCACAGCATTACGCCCAGCAGCATCTGTGGCGGAGGGTGCACTGGGCACCCAGGATGTTTGGCTTCATCCGAAGGGGCTATGAACTAAGCAATCAGTCACCTACCTCCAGTGGATTACTAGCACAAGCTTCGTCCAGCTGTCTTGTAGGTTAAGCTTTTATTAGCTAAAAGCTCCGGTTGTGGTATATATATATATATATATATATATATATATATATATCTTACTATCATTATGAGCAATTATACATGCAGCCTTGTTGTCCGTTGGGTAAGCAGTGGCCCAGACACGAATGACCAACAGAGAACACGGTTGTGAAGAGTATCCGTTCACACTCGAGATGACTCAAATTAGATCCCAATAAAGACTCACTATATATATATATATATATATATATATATATATATAATTAGATCCTACTGAATATATAACACCGGAGTGTACAAAGTATGAGGACGAGTGGGGAGAGGAGTAACGGGTACGCATACATGATGAGCGGCAACAAACGAGAAACCGGTCGATTGCTTCCGGGGAAATTTTGTCCACACGTTTACATACTTCTTACTATCAATATGACAGCTTGCACATGCAGCCTCGTTGTTCGTTGGGTTAGCAGTGACCCAGACACGAATAACTATAAAAAATTACAGTTGTGATTCATTTGTGGGCTCTTCAAAGAAGTGTATCCATTCACACTCCAGACGATTCAAATTAGATTCTAGTGAAAAGGGGGCAGGACTCAAACGTATGAAAACCTCCAAATTATTATGAACCTGGAAAAAGTTTATCCTATGTTCCTCTTTTGGGCTGTTGTATAAAACAACCATTCGGTCAGGAAAAGAGAAGGCTTGAGACCATTGTACACATATATAACCTTTGAAGAAGAATTGGATAGAGGTTCAGTGTAACTTAAAATAGGGCAAGAAAGATGAGACGAACTATTGATAAAACAGCATAGAATAGTGCGGACAGTCATCCGGCTTACAACGAGTGATAGCAAAATTGATAGAGGTAGTGCAGATTTGCTGATGAGTGATTTCGCCATTCCACGCGATGTGAAAGGTTTCCTTTTGAGCTGATCTGAACTCATGACGAACGTTGTCTTGACTTTCAAAGCAGAGGTTTAGTTAAGGGAAATTACGAGTTGTAAATGATATTAGGTTTTCTGTAGATTTGTGCGCAAAGCAGCATAAAGGGTATCCAAATATTCGTTACGGATTTTTTTTCGTTTTTTTCTCGCACTAAGGTTTGTTACCATATCACTAAAAATAATCACTGTCGTGTGCCGAAAAAAGGACGAGTAAGCAGCTTGTCTTGTCAATCACATTGTACGTGTTGTATGTTTTCTCTCTCCTCATAAATACTGAAGGGTTATTCTACTGTTGTGAAGAAAAGCAGTGCTTCAAGCAAATGCTATTATAGCCGCTTATCAAAAATTCAGCATAGGTAGCAGACGGAGTTTTCATAAGGGAACCATAAAGAAGCAGCGTAGACGAGTCAATTGGGATGGATCAGGTCCTCAGGTGACAGATCTCGTTTTGATTTTGTCTATTTTGCTTTAATGAACGAGTTAAACGACGGTATGGATATACGCTTTGAATGTAGGAAAGGATGAATGTCTGCTAGTTGATCGGGAACGGAGTCTCTAGTAATTGGCTGAAAAGGTTGTAGTGGTAGATACTGCATTTGTACCAATGAGCAACTCCTTCAGTTAACAAAAAGATACTCAAGAGATCAGTGTGGGTTCCTTGAGAACCTATAAATACCTAAAAACAGGTGAGCCTCAGCAGAGTGCAGTAAATCATTGCACAGAGGGTAGAACAATGGGTCGAGTGATTCGGTTCATGATATAAGGTATGAAGACCCTATTCGGTAAACATGACCGTGTACAACTTGTTGGGCTTCCAGGGTGTATCTGATCCACCAGCCAGATGGTTGAAGACGCTGGGTAACTTGGCTAGAAGCTGATGACAACAGCATAGTTGCATTCTAACTCCGTAGTTTATACGATTTCCACTTATAATTCTTATTTCTGTTTGCTCAACTAGCTTCCATTCATTCCACTGGACAGAAGGTACTGTGAGGTAACAAATAGAACCTCTAAATGGAAGTATGAGATTATTATTGATTGAGGGAACTGCAATCAACTCACGGGTTACTAGTCACAATATCTGAAAAAAATAGAAAGCTCAAGGTTCAAAAAAGCATGAATGAAACCGTCGATTTCAAGTTTTCTGCCCATCCGAAATTTTTAGGCCACTTCAACTTATTTGTTCCTGCTATACTTTCCCAACAATCGGCAATCTGTGGGAATTTTTTAAAAAAGCATGGGAGTAAAAACTCCAAGTGATTAGCAGAGCTGTTTCCAGTAATTCCTGATTAAGTCAATGACCCTCACTAAATGAGGTTGCCATACTGGATTGGAACAATAAAAGATGGACTAGTGTGTATCGAAAGAAAACAGGGCTCGTAAGTGGTAACTAGATCCAACTCTGAGCCGTATTCAGGTTTGGGAATTAGCATGGAAGTTTTGAGTACAAAAGAGAAAACAGTAACGAATAATACCTGAATTTTCCCCTGTAGCCAGAACAAGATATGTTACAAATGTACTTTTCGCCCTGTAATCAGGCAAAAGGCTTCCATCACTTCACGGAGTGATCGGACTTAGCTAGACAAACACAATGAACATAATTAATTTAATTGCATCAGTAATTACCTAATCCGCATGGTTTTCGTGAAAATTCGGACAAGCTCCTGATCAGGAGGTCAGTATAAGTAGTTCCATATCCAGAGCCCCATTGGATACTAGAAAGAGGACGAGGCTACAGAGTCAGTTACTGATTTGAAAATAGCCATCCATACGATGTATTGCAAGGATAACTACCTGTCAGTCAGTGATTTTTAGGAGCACGAGTGAATCGCTGTTTGTGTTCATCTATGGTACTTGAATAATTGAGTGCGATAAGACCAGATTTTGGTTAGACCGTCAATTTTCCATGTTGACAATGACCGGAGAAAGATATCACCAGTCTTCCGGCTGTCAAGTCCGCTTTTCTTGAATCAAACTAACCATTTCCAAAAGGGTTGGAAAACCCATAGTAAGTGGAATTCAGTACTATAACGCTTTCTAAGCAGAAGAATAAAAGTGACATGCACTAGTGGTAGCGTAGCTCCAAAAACACAGGAGAAATTTTGTTGGAGAAGGGAGCAAAGCTCGATGCAGTAAACTGAAGTAAAACACGACTCCAGAAGGCAGTAGTGTTAGGTAGTCTGCAATGACCACTCATTCTGATGCCTAAAGTCGAATATTCATGGTCCTTTAGGAGCAGCTTTTAGACTTCAAGGGTGAGCTCTTGTAACGATGAGGCCGGCTAATTTTCATGGTTTTAAATATGTTCACCTTTTTGTTTTATTTTGGATCCCGTTACTTGTGAATACCCATCCTTAAGGGCTCGTTAACTGTCAATTGCAGATTAAACAGATTAGAATTATTTCTCTGTGCATGATCAGATATAACTCCGACAATCTTTTAGGAGTTCCCCTCAGGCTGATGGTTTGTTGATCAAATAAGAAGGGGAAAGTCAAATCACCTAGAAGAGTTTCTGAATGTGAGCAAACTTCGAACAAAGTCATTGATACTTCATGCATCTGTTTCGCAGTACTGCTGATGTTACCGCAACTGACCTCATGTGGTTCCCTAATCCATGTCTCAGAGCTATGCCCTTAAAATACTAGAATCCTGCCTACTTCATGTTTCTTGGCCTCATAGTCATGGTGAAACTTTTCAACATACAAATAATAAAATAATCCTGTTTGTACGTTTCTAGACGAGGTCAGGACTGGGACTTATCGGCAACTGTTTCACCCTGAACAACTGATCACGGGAAAAGAAGATGCCGCAAACAATTATGCTCGTGGTCATTACACAATCGGGAAGGAAATTGTTGATCTGGTGCTTGACCGAGTACGCAAACTGGCGGACCAATGCACCGGTCTGCAGGGTTTCCTAATTTTCCATTCCTTTGGTGGGGGTACTGGCTCCGGCTTCACGTCACTACTCATGGAACGTCTCAGTGTGGACTATGGCAAGAAATCTAAACTGGAATTTTCTGTCTATCCAGCCCCACAAATCTCCACTGCCGTGGTTGAGCCATACAATTCCATTCTAACCACACACACAACTTTGGAACATTCTGATGCGGCATTCATGGTAGATAACGAGGCAATCTACGATATTTGCAGGTAAATTTTAGTCTTTTCAGTTGTTATTATCAGTAACAATATCTGTACAAAAACACGTGAACTATGATAGACTGCCTACTACAAGTGAGTGCGCACGTACGTATTCATATGAACGTATGTATACAAATGAATGGTCTTAAAGTGCAGACCGTGTACTAAGTCTCTTCGAACATAGCCTGACCCAGCCTCTGGTAAGATCATTGTCAGAACGGTGTCTTTTCCTGACTTGGAGGAAGATCAATCGAAGTGTAAATAAACGGTGCACTTCCAACTGAAAGTCAACCAGAGCTTTTTATTCTGTTGTACAATAATCGTTAAGACAACCCGATTTGATTTGGTCCCTTTGTCCAAAGCCAAACAAGTTTATCCGGAAAGGTGTGGAGCGTAACTCACCTAAGGTCCGCCACTGAATTCTTTCATTGCTCCTCAGCTCTTCTGGCCATTACCGTTAACTCATATGTTCTCGTTTTTCCCTGATGAAGCAAGGTAAATCAAAAAACAAAATCAAGTAAATCAAGTGGAAAACGAACGTCGAAAATGGTACAAGTGAAGAATCGTACGAAGGGAACAAGATAACCAGAGATCTACAGTGCTAGAACGGCCACTGATAATGACATTTATTCACGTAGTTTGCCATTACCTGACATTCAGCTTGTGATTATTACGCTTCCTTGCTCGTTTTTCATAACCGGTTCCGCTGTTTGAGGTTTTCATAACTTTACTTCAATTCGTGGACTTACCTCGTCGACTTAGATACTAACCAACATCTTCTCCCACAAACAATTCACACTGAGGAAGCATATCGGGGGACGTGTAAAACACGTGCACCATCAACGTATATATATATATATATATATATATATATATATATATATATATATATATATATATATATATATATATATATATATATATATATATATATATATGTGCATCCTCCTGATTTCAGGCCGTGTGACAAACAAAACACGGTACAACGACGGAAGAAGGTGTACATGGAGTCAGATTCGATTTTTTTGTGGGCGCAATACTGCTAGGTTTCCCAGGCCTAAGCAGTTGGTTTTATAATGGGTCTACAGCCAGAGCCTTAGCCGTCCAAAGTTTAACCCCTGGTTAGTTCAGATTAGGTTTATGTTTTTTAGGCCAATCTCTGCTCTCTCCACTCCAATGTGAGCCTGCTTGCGCTGTGCTTTTATCCCATTGGGATAGTATCACGAAGACATCAATGTTCAGACACATATTTTCCGCTTATAATATCAAATTTATTTTCCACAAACGGCAGTCAGTTATTGCTGATTGCTTCCAATAAAAATGATTTCAACCTCTGATCAAGTAAAGCTATTTTACATACCTCCATCTGGAGAAATCTTTCTGAACAGTATGACTATATGTCGAAAAAGAAGCATGAGGTACTTTTTCTGCTATCAAAAGAGTCAGGGTCAGTGATCTTCGTTTACTGATCATAGACCAGTCCTCTTCGGCTTCGGTCTACTCAGTCAGCAACATGATAAAGTGTCACGGCCGGTGGCATAGTTGCATTCGAACTCTTTCCCAGCTATCACGATTTTCACTTAGTACTTTTTCCCCGCTCTTAGTGTTTTTGCTGTGATTTGTTCTACCCTGAAATCGACAATGCTGTGAGGCAGCAACGAAAACCAGGGCACAGAAGTGCAAGGTTAATGGTTAAATGAACTGGAATGAACTGAGTTGAGTTCAAGAAATGGTCATCATCCCACTCGACTACTATTTCGATATCTGCTACCGTTACGTCATGTGTGCTGACCACATCATTTCCCTTTTGTTTATTAGTCTACAGTCGACAATCAGTGAATGAAGCCTTGCTAATGGTTGTGACGTCGTTCTCGAATGATTCACAAGGTGTTTCTATCTCAGCTAATATCCAGTTTTACTAACCCCTCGGAAGCTAGACCTAGTGGCTTAACGATGCTGCTACTAGCATTTTTGTCAACTCTCACAACTACTCATACCCAAGTCCTTCATTTGCGGTCGATATGCATTTGTGGACAATGTCCGGTATCATAAATAAGTATTGCGATTGCCAATAAAAAGCTGTTTTATTTAACAACTGGATAATATGAATAATATAAAATAATATCAGGGCCCCGTTTCATTAGCAAGGTTGCTAACCACGCACGTTCTTCTTTTTTCTCCTATTTCATATAGACGCAATTTGGACATAGAACGACCCACGTACACAAATTTGAATAGACTTATTGGTCAGATAGTTAGTTCCATTACCGCCTCTTTACGTTTCGACGGTGCTTTAAATGTGGACATCACTGAGTTCCAGACGAATCTGGTGCCATATCCACGAATCCATTTCCCATTGGCTACTTTCGCGCCAACTATTTCAGCGGAGAAAGCGTATCACGAGCAACTTACTGTGGCTGAGATTACCAATGCATGTTTCGAGCCAGCCAATCAAATGGTAAAATGTGACCCACGTCATGGAAAGTATATGGCTTGTTGTATGCTGTATCGCGGAGATGTTGTGCCCAAAGATGTGAATGCAGCTATTGCCACGATCAAAACAAAACGAACAATCCAATTTGTAGACTGGTGTCCGACTGGTTTCAAAGTTGGCATCAACTATCAACCGCCAACTGTGGTTCCAGGAGGAGACCTGGCTAAAGTACAGCGTGCGGTTTGTATGCTCAGCAATACGACGGCAATCGCGGAAGCCTGGGCACGACTGGATCACAAATTTGATCTGATGTATTCGAAAAGGGCATTCGTGCATTGGTACGTTGGTGAAGGAATGGAAGAGGGCGAATTCTCCGAAGCTCGTGAAGATCTGGCCGCCCTCGAAAAGGACTACGAAGAAGTCGGTGCAGATAGTGTGGAAGCCGAGGGCGAGGAATTGGGTGAAGAATATTAAACAGAATATTCTCCGGTGAACCCGCAGAACGATTGGTCCAATTTAAGGTTCATAAATAATAGCTTCTGTGAAGTTCTACTCCATCCATCTCAGTCATGTATATTCCTTGTGCACCCTGCGTTCCCTGAGTTATATCTGTCCAGCTATCAGTCTATAACAACTTGCCTGAAAGGACGCGTCGATTTGATGAGGCTATTCACCGAATTGGATTGGATCCATTTTTGAAATCAGAATAAGTGAAACGCCACTATTAATCTATCCGACAACAAGCTGTCAGGTCACTATCATTGCTGATGGCATACAGGCAATTCTAGCTCTTCCCTCAAGGTGAATATCTTGGGTTCACAAACATTTGACCGTCAACTTGAATTAAAACACGTCAGCTTCCTCTGTACATTTGTTGTTTTTTACTCTCCCGTGTCCAAATTGCTTTGGAGGGTGCAAAAGTTGTACAAGGCCAAATGAAATTCGACCGATTTCAATTGATCAATGTTGTCAGTTTTGAGAAACAAATTCCGAGTAGCTCACTGGAAGGGTAAAATGTGATATATTCAATAACATAAGCCTTTCCTCGCCAATACTTTGTGATTCAAATCATTGACAATGAAGTAGTTCAAAATGCTTATTCATTATATATATATATATATATATATATATATATATATATATATATATATATATATAGTAAGTAGCATATGACTGAGTTCGAAATGTAGGTGTAAAATTAAGATTTTATCAATGTTACTTTCAGTGGGGTTAACGAATACTGATACCCCGAGCTCTGAAAAAAATCAGTGGGCGTATAGAAGAAATCCCCGATGATCAGTGAGAATCCGGTTGATTTCGTCATACTACAGGAATAGATGAGTATAGTTTAAAACGACCAAATGTTTGAGCGAGCTGCCTCAATTGACGAGTGATTTTACTTCAGTGGGATATTCTGGATATCTAACTCGGTTGCGCAGAAAGATCTATGATTTGCCTTACCTGGTACTTGAGTTGGTAATCCCAAAAAATTGCACTGTTGTAGTCCTTGTTGTCCAGCTGTTGTTTCTAGGGATGCCAGACGATCTGGGTGTCTCATATCCTACATCTAGTTTTACATAATAACGGAGAAAGGTTGATCAGTCATGGGAACTAAGAACAGAATTGGTGCAAAAGTAGATTAAAACTCATTTTTGTGAGAATTTCTGAAATATTCCTATTATAGAAAACAGTTTGGCACAGAATTATAAGCGTAGGTTGACTTGGATCAGCATTTTTCATCCTCGCTTCCAGGCGGAGTCTGTGCACGGACTTGAGCCTCATGTGACTGTTTTTGTAAAACTGTTGACTCACAAAGGCAAATGCACCGGTCAGGATGCGGTCACTGCGGAAGTTCTGAGCCTGGATATGGCGCGTCAACGAACTACGCAGGTCGGAGTCAGTTAACTTGTCATGATCAAAGGCTTGACCTAACGACAATCACTTAGACAAAGTCTCCACACACAGTGGACGAGGCCCTGTGACCACCCTTGATGTTTTTCCCAAAAGACTTTCGCCAACACACTGGTCTGGAAAGAATGGGCTCTGACGGCTCTATGACGCCATTTGAGTGACGAGTAAAGCATCCGGCAAAGAGGGTAGAAGTAGAATGTTCAGCAATATCACAGATGAGCATTTCATAAAGAAACAATCAACTGAACAGTTGGCGTGGAGAGTTGATCGTAGATCCAGCAGTCCTGTCTCTAACTGCTATATCCAGTTACCTCAGTCAGGTACTTCTACTGCTTGTGCATGGTCCACATATATCCTCATCTAAGGGTCTTGAAGGATACGAGATATATTGGAGTTAGTTTTGATTTTCATGTTCCTGCCTTCAAGTAGGTTGATATTTTGGTAATTCTTCAGATAAAATTTATTTGACCTTTACGTCATTCAGCAAAACATAACTAACAAGTCATGTTCAACCAATCGAATCATCTCAGTGTAATCTTCTGCGCACCTTGTAGACGGAAAAACTTTAGTATGTTGTAAGGTTCTAGCCGAATAGATGAATTTCCGAAACATCCGGGATTCTTTATGTGGAACCATTAACTGAAACGCTACTTTACTTTACCATGATCCGTGAGAAAATTTATGATGTCAGTAACGTAGCATTGATAGTGGTAAATTATAATTATACGACATTTCGGTTAACGCGGTTAACCTATCAGAAGGCTTACCAAGACTTACCACCAACTGACTTTGATAAATCGGTTACAGTTCAACGGTGGTGTGTTGGCGCGTTGCTTTGTCGGATGATGAGCACGATATTATTTCAGGCACGCCTGCTTCCATTATCCAAGTTTTTGATTGAGAGACCAATCATAATTGCGAATTTTGAGGTCCTTATTGATCAGAGAGATAAGTGCGGTCCAAAAGCCGAGAAAATACGTCCCGACATTTCGGTTGACGCATGCAGGATGGATGCTGATTGTCAGAGTCATAGCAAATAGGTACTTAGTGCCTGTTCGGAGTCGGAGTTTGAGGATAATATATTTATACCCTCTCTTCTTTAAATAGGTGCTCGATCACGTACCTAGGATGAACGGAATAGCAAGTTCGACCGAGCTGGATTGACCATATCCCTCGGTGGGGGGACATTCATATCAGAACCAAACGACCAAATGTTGCCAGTCGGATAGTCACCTGCATGTTCTATCGAACGGCCGTGGACGATCAGTGACAGTGCAGATGATGTGGTGGGTCTTCGTTAGGCTAGCGTTGTTCTTTCTAAAGTACCACATAAGTCTTTTGACCGCACTGTGACGCGGCACACGCGGCTCTTCACTAAATAGAGCGGCTGCCTCGGCTGCTTTGCAGGTTGTATTTGAATGTGCTAATGCCTTAGGTGTACCCTTAAGGGGAAAAAACCAAAATGAGATACCGAATATCAAGAAGGCCTGAACAGTGCTGAGGACAACGCTTCGTATCACTACTCCCCAGATTATCTGTGGATTATTCGGAACTTGCGCGCTGTCATTATGTTACGGCATCCCGGGTACTGGAATCCCCAAGTGTCCCAGCAGTCGAGGTGACAAGACAACAAGCTGGAACTCTCTAGTGTAGAAAAGAGACAGCCTGTTTGAATGTGAGGACGCTACTAGATATAGGTAGCTAAAGTATTATGATGCAAACGCTACATGATTATCATTTACATATTGCCTGCCTTTCGGAAGTTCGGTTACCCTACTGCGGCACTTGGTATTTTAAGGTCCCGAGAGTGAATGCAATTTATCGGCTGAGGTCAACTCCGGACATCATGGTGTCGCATTCGCCCGGAGCAAAATGGCCGACAGCGCCCTGATTTCTTGGAGATGGATTACTTCAAGGTTGGCCCTGGAAAGCTTCAAAAGCTCTCCCCAGAACCTATCAGTGATTTTTTATTACATGCTTACGCAGGAATGCAGTAAAAGGGGTATATAGCCAGTAGCTGCAAAGGCCCACTGCTTTGTTATGGATAACCGGTAACCAGACCCTAAGACTGGGAGTGCTGAACCTTATGGGGTCAAGTGTGGTAACAGTCCGGGATGACAGAGGGGATTTCTGTCTATGGACCGACAAATGCAGTTAAAAATACAAAAAAAGATGACTTATATGACAAACCACAGTATCTATTCAATCTTGTTTCAAGAAGTGACATACTCTTCGTCACAGGTGACTGAAAAGCACGAACAGGCCTCTCGGATAAGTTCATTCTCCAAGTCCTGGGACAGTTTGGACTTGACCAGAGTTGTGAGAATGGAAACCGTCCAGTGAATTCGGTAAACGGTAACAGATTAGTCACCTGCAACACGCTGTTCCAAAGCCTCAAAAGGCACTTGCTAACTGGTAGTCAAACGATGGTCGCACAAAGCACCAAAGTGACTATGTTCTAGTGCGATCACGTTGGGCTTCATCGGTAGAGGACTTCCGAGCGTACCGCGGCCCAGTAACAAGACATGAATGGTACAGACCATGTCCTTGTACATGCGAGCTTCAAAATCCGTCTGTCTTATCGCTGAGCCGAATTAATGTTGCAGCTCAGAAGATACCAGAAAAACCTAGTGCTCCGTGGAACGTTATCGCAGGCCAGCTGGCTACCGTAACTAGCGTGCAATTGGGTGGGTCTTCTATGGAAGAACTGTGGAAGGTAGTCAAGGTGGCTGCTTTGAAGGAGTTATGGAAAAATGAAAAAGTCGGAAGGACTGGACCTCATCGATCCCCTAGCACCTATCATCCAAGACACGGGGACCTGACTGATAAGAAGCACCGAACGCCTAGGACGTAACTAGAAGCCTCGCGCTCGGCTGGAGAGGAGAAGTACAGAAGACGGAGACTGCTCCCGGTGCTGGCCTCTCAGGCAAATTATTTTGACTCCTTTGCAAAGCTTCGAATGGGCCACTTGTGCCCATATCCGTCTTACGTGATTTAGCTGAACCGATTATTCCCCAACAGAGAAGAAAAATCAAACGTTGGATAGAGTATTTTGACCAACTTCTCAAATCATCTTCTGATCATTCCACTGATGCACCGTCTTCCCAGGGTGTGGGGAAGTGCGACGTTAACAGGAATGACCAGGGATGTCAACCAGCTAGAAAACAGAAAATACTGAAGTGGATAGAATCCCACTAAAAGTCTATAAGATCTGTTTGTCATCATGGGTAGGCAGGCTGCACTTGCTGTTCCTATCCTCGTGAGGAGAGAGATATTTCCAACGGACTGGGGTGCTTCTATTCTCCTACCCATTCCTAAGAAAGGAGAAAAGACAGTGAGCAATAACTAAGGGGGATCAGTTTGATTGGCTTCACTGCAGAGAATTTCTGCATACTGTTAATCAACCGCTTCTTAGTTGCGAGAGACTCCAGCACTCAGCCGAACCGAGGGACTTTCCGCCATGGCAGAGGCTTTGTGGACCAAATCTTCATCGATCGATAGACGAAGACTATCGTTGTTTGAGTATCGATATCTCCGTATGGTTGCCCGAGTATGGTGGGAAC